CAAAAGTTAAATATTTTTTTTCAAAAATCAAATTTTTTTTTAAAAATCTAAATAGCTGTAACTTTTATATAAAGTACTTTTAAAATAAAGAAGTAATAAAAAAAAAACTATCTTAAAAAGCCAATACAAACCAGTTGTGTATATAGTTGGTATCCGAATGCAGCATGCACAAGCACAAGAACACATTTTATTAAGCAGTTTGGTAAGTGTTAAGTGCTACATGACACACATTGATTAGCTGTTATTTCTTTTGTTCTGTAGGCGCCTGACATATATAGTGGCTCGCCAAACCTGAGAGTGAGAGCACAAGCTAAAGTTTTGTGACTCCTTAACCCAAACTAAAACTAGTAAATTGTTTATTGGGTTTTATAAGAGTTATGTTGTAGGAAAAGTGATTGTGTAATGTTATAGAGATTCGTTTTGCGTGCCTTAATTTTTTATTTATTTTTTTGTTTTAAAAAATGTGGACCCCACAAAATGTTGTGAATGTAAGAAAATTTGTTGTGTTATGTTAAAGGATAAAATGAAAACCCTTCTTTCTTAACTTGCAAACTCTTCCAAATGGAAAAGGAAGCACGTAAGCTAGGACACCAAAGATTATTTAACTATTTTGCCCTTTCTTAATTTAAAAATTATCATTTTACACCTGTCCTAAAATTATACTCCAATTTGCTCATTTTTCATTGTCGACCGACCAATATATTCGATTATATGATCATAATCTCGAGTATATCAAGTTTGATGAATATATATCTGAGTATATGACTCAGATACTCAAGTATTTGTTGTTCATGGGCATGTACTCGAGTATATATTCAAAAAAAAAATTTACAAATTTTTTTCAATGTATAGCTCTCGAAAAATTATGTAAAATAAAAAAAAGCACATGATTCAGACACTCTAAGTTAAAAGTTATGATTTTCTGAAGTTTTATTAAAAAAATTTCAAAATTTTATTGTAAAGAACCTTGGGATACACTACCCCAAAAGCTAGCTCAAAGGGTGGATAATGGCACGCAATAGGTTTTGTGATACCCACAAAGCTTCTTCTCAGGTTACCTAGTCAAGTCCAATATTATGAGTAACCTGAGGAGGAGCTTTTGTGGGTATCACAAAATCTATTGACATTATAAATTTTTGAAATTTTTTTAATAAAACTTCAGAAAATCATAACTTTTGACTCGAGTGTTTGAATTAGATATTTTGTTTTTGATTTCACATAACTTTTCAAGAGCTATACTTTGAAAAAAAAATTGTAGAAATCTTTTTGAACAGATACTCGAATACATGCTCAGGAATAGCAAATACTCGATTATCTGGGTCATATACTTGAGTACATGTTCATGAAATTTGATATACTTGAGTATATAATCATATATTCGAGTATATCGATCAAACAATAACATATTGATATATAATTTTAAAATAGGAGCAAAATGATATTTTTTAAATAAAAAAAGAGCACAATGGTCAAATAAATGCACACAAACTATACTTTTCTAGTACAACGTGCTTTTGTTGAGCGGGCAAACTCATTTCAAATTTTATTCATGTTTAACCATCTTTCAAGTGGTTAAGCAATGTTAATTTTTAATGTGCTATACTTCTATTTTCTCTTCCTTCCTGTGATTAGACTTTCCTACATATATGTGTGCCTTACAAAAAATATGTGCTTACATTTGTATATTAACAAAAAAAAATATTGATAAATAATATCTCACTTAAAAACTCAAACTATTAAATGGAGGCTCATAAATAATGTGACCAATGTATCAAGTCCATACATGTTCTAACTTAATTTCACAAGAAAATGAAGGGCGATAAGAATTGAATTTATGACCCTGTGATCTAATATCATGATAAATAACTATCTCACTTAAAAGCTCAAAATATTAAGTGAAAGTGCATCAATAATTTTTATATTATATATCTGTAATATATGCCTTGCATTATCCGATATACCGCTAGTTACATAATTGATAGTAAAATGTACATATACTGAATTCAATAAATTAACGATTACATTCAGTATTGGAAGTGATAGTAAATAATATTACAAATAATTAGCTTAGGATGACTGGACCTTGAGAACGTAACTTGAATTAATGAAGATAAGATGGCACAACAACTCTTCACTTAATTATGGCTAGTAGCTCACTTGTGAGGAAGGTAATGTGAACCCAAACATCCACCAAGAAAAAAGGGTAAACGTTGGCGTCGTCATTGACTCTGAGACAATTTTTTGGGTGAATGTCTTTCGAGTTAGAGAGACAGACATACAGCAAACATGTTGAAATCGGTTGATTTGTGAATGTCATGAAGACTCGAAATAAATATTTCGCAAAGACAATGGTAGATGCTTATCAATTCATGTCCCCGTTCAACTTGTGTGGCTACTAGCTTTTAGATTCAACCGAACACTGATCTAATTGTGAATTTGACCTCTGCTATATTCAAGTTTTTAAGGGGAATACCGGGACAAATTTTGGTGCTCCTGTAGTAGGCACATTCCTCCTAAAAATGAAAAAAAGTGGGTTTATTGGAAAATAAAGATAACGTGTTGGTTTAAATGAGATAAAAAAATTTCCTTTTAGGAAAATGGGAGTACCGACCTCACGTAATACAAAAAAATACTAGTCATGCACAACCAATCAGCGCGTTCCATGTTTTGACTTCTCATTAAAAGGCAGAGACAAATCATTACAATTTTTTTTTAGATTTAATATTTTTTATGTTGTATGAGATAAATTTATTTCTACATACATAAAAGTATATGAGATCCATGTAAATCCATATAAGGAAAAGAAAAAAAAAAGAAAAAGAAAAAGAAAATATTGATTTATGTTAGGTCATGGAAAGAAGTATTGTTATACCGTATGGTATGCGCTCAGAGATACCGTAGAATCTGGTATGTATGTGGCTTATAGCCAATGTCCTAATCACTGCGCACAAGCAATAAGCTTATAGTCAAGACATGGGTGTGTGCACAGTGTTGACAGTAATAATAGATAGGTTCAAAAGTGTATACTTGGGGTCTTTAGCCTCTTATTTATCTTATTTATAAGGGTTACCTCTAGGTTTGTGTAGAACTCCCAATTGTAGTAGAACTTAGCCTCTTTTCTGTTGAGATCAGGCTCCTATCCTAAGTATCTTTGCTGTTTAATATTGTTAGGATAATTGAATCTTTATCCTCTGATGATCTCTCAAGTAGATAGTTAGGATATGATATATATCCATAACAGTTTCATATACTTTTATATATGTGAAAGAGATAAATTTATCTCCTGTAATATAAGAAATAATAATGAAAAGTTTACCGGTATCCCACGGCCGGTTGATAACCAATGATATGGGAAAAAGAACTTTTGTTGCTCCCTCAGAGTTTTTTCTTCAAGCTCTGTAAACAAATGTTGATTCAATTAGTAAAATTCAAATGTCTCTTGTACGTGGTCTTTAATTGGTAGATTATGTGTAAATATCATTGCAAGATTTTATTAAAACTTATCCCACATGTCCTGATTCTAAACTTCCTTCACCTAAACTTTTCTTAAAAAAAAAAAATTTATCCCTTAGATTGAATAAGGAAATTAAAAATAAAAACCCGAAATAAATCTCAAAAGTTGTGTAGTTCGTTTGCTCATGCTCTACAGATTCAGAATGATTATAAATTAGGATAAAGTGCCTTATGGCACATCAAATTTCTTATCCAAATAGTAGACAGTTTCTTTATTGAAGGGAAAAATCATGATATGTTCATGAAATCTTGTGTGGGTTTAATTGCTAGCCTTTTGGTTACATAATTTGATATGAGAACCGTAGACGTTTCTCTCTTCGAGGGAGAGTACCTCCTCTAACACATGGTTAGCCAAAATATTCCTTGTCTCATTCATTGTAAAATTGGGTCTTTATACAGCAAGGTTACTATCAGTAACAAAAAGGCAAGCTAAACAATAAAAGCACGCACACAAGTAACACCTCAGAATCTCATAACAGAAACAAATACACAAAAGCATAACAACCTAACAGCCTAATAAGCCATTGCTCTCACCTCACACACACTGCTTATTTGATAAAAATCACTCATCCACTTGGTCTGGGACTAATATGATGACCCACTGATGTTGCTCCAGCCCAATAACCACTTGATCAGCCTCCTCCTCTGGTCGGCCCAGTTTAGTAAAGCAATGCGTATCTTAATTTGTCAAGGTTCATGAATGCTTCTTAGTTCTTATGACAAATAAACGAGTTGAATTTCATTCCGGATTAAAGTTGCTCAATTTCTAAAAAAATGATTCAATTAGTAAAATTCAAATGTCTCTTGTGGTCTTTAATTGGTAGATTATGTGTAAATATCATTGCAAGATTTTATTAAAACTTATCCCACATGTCCTGATTCTAAACTTCCTTTACCTAAACTTTTCTTAAATCTCAAAAGTTGTGTAGTTCGTTTGCTCATGCTCTACAGATTCAGAATGATTATAAATCAGGATAAAGTGCCTTATGGCACATCAAATCTCTTATCCAAATAGTAGACAGTTTCTTTATTGAAGGGAAAAATCATGATATGTTCATCAAATCTTGTGTGGGTTACTTGCTAGCCTTTTGCTTACATAATCTCTGAAGGTTCATGAATGCTTCTTATGACAAATATACTAGTTGAATTTCATTCTGGATTAAAGTTGCTCAATTTCTAAAAAAATGGTATCATTTTTGGGAGCTGATTGATGATATAAACTGCCATTACCTCCTTGAGAACCCTTGCAGTCAAATCCTCTGCAGTATCATTAGCAAGCACATGGTGTATCATATTGTTCAGCAACAAAATGAATTGTAGTACCAACAAAATGAACTCTAGAAGCAATTAATGCTTTATGTACCTTCACATCAAAGTTTCCTTGCGGTTAAAGCTATAAAGGATACAATGTACGATGGTACATGAAGAAAACTCTCAATTGAAGAAAAATAAGAGCTAAGTACTAGATGAGAATCAGAGTAAGTACACTAGGCCAATTTCTTTGTCACTCCAATCCTCATAAGTGCAAAATAAGCTATAAGTCTGTAACCTATTAGCATTATCACTAGAGCTAATGCAGCCAAGGCTTGCCCGTGGAAATGAAACCCCATTTCCTTAATAGCAGGAAATTCAACAATTGGACACTGGCCATTATTTGAACAAGGGTATGTTTCACCAGTGTGATATTGAGACCCAATAAAGAGCTGGTATGTATAGTAGCTAATGGAGATGTACTTCACCCATGCTATAAATTTTGGAACATGCTGAACATAAAACCCACCAGCCAACAAGAAACATAGCATGATCACTGAGGCAAGTGTGGTTGCTGATTTTTGGTCCAGTACAACAGCACCAATGGCAAGGCCTAAGCCTTGAGCCACTAACACATTGAGTAAGAGGCTGAGTAGTGTGTACAAAAAGTTGACCACATTAGCTTTCAGCCCTGCCATCCAATATGTTATGAGAAGAAATATGGTGGGAAGGACAAGTTCCATTGGAAGATCAGCTACTATCCTTGACATGAAGTATGAGGAGAGCCTGTACGTTCCTGAGGATCTTTCTTTCTCTAGCATCATTAGCTCTTGTGGAAATGTGAAAATTGCTTGAAAGAGAGGGAAAAAACCCCAAAAGCCAGATATGAAGAATAGAAGCCCAATCTGCAAGTACAATACAGTTGAATGATGTTTATTGGTTCTTTGCCTAACCACATTAGTACAAACCAATTATACTTTCAAATTCAGAAAATAAATCTTTTTTACCATTATATGCTTCCAGAATAACTAGTAATACATTTTTTTTCTTGAGCAATAAATGATTCTGAATTTAATAAAGAATATAAAACCATCAATATAGATATCACTTACAAGCTTAAATTCAGAAAATAATTCTCTAATACATCCCCTCAAGCAAGAAACAATTGAACTTAAAATAATAGATTATGCACAGATTCACCTACTTGTGCTAAGGAATTTCACAATTAAATATTAAACTCTAATACCATATAATGCAACCGATTGAATCCAATAAATTACGTTTCTAAATGATATCTACGTTAATAATTTTACATTAGACTTCTCTAACAAAGCTAAAGCTTGCATCTTAGAAGCAGAATATTTTGTCAATCTGACATGGAAACCAGTTTTTTTGAGATTTTTACCTGATCCTGCAAGTGTGAAATATCGGACTTATACCATAGTAGTCCTGAAATAAGTGCAACCACAAGGACCTGACAAATACGCACGCCAGAGAATGATTCATACTTTCTCTCTTTGACGTCTCTTCTTAACAGTACAAAGAATTGCTGCGACCAACTTGTAGGCCATTTTTCAGAGCCCGTGTCTTGAAATCTACCCTGACTTTTGCCAGAGTCACCGATTTCTTGAAGTAATGGCTTCAATTGTGCTTTAAAGCGGTTCTTATACGCGGAAACTAATTGCTGTTTATCTATGGTTTGGTCCTCATTCAATTCATCAGTGTATATACCTGCATTTTTTTACCTCATTTAGCAATCTAACAAAGTATAATCCAAGATCAAGTGTATCTTTAAAATAAACATGTAACTCATTTTTCCTCTAAGACTTTTACCGTACAAGCAACATAATCTAATATACATCAACAGATAATTTATCTCTCTACCTTCAAATTGTATAAATGTTGAAAGTTAGAAGATGTTAACTCATAGAAAATTTCATTTAAAAATAAAAATCATTTGAACATCCAAAAGTTTTTCCCTGCCAAAACATGTCTATGACAATAATGCTCATACTTTCACAACATAATAGATTCCAAATGTATATAGGTGCAAGACACAATATTTAATTCATAATAAAAACGAAACTTATATGATCTATATATAGCTATAATGCAGACCAAAGTTTAATAAAATATCACAGGACATATCATAATCACTCCTATTAAATCCCGACTCGCAAGAGTAGGGATGAGAACAATCTTTATACACAGTTTTAGTCTTGTATACTTGCAAAATGACTGTTTCCGGATTTGAACCGGTGACCTTTTAATTACAATGAAACACCTTTCAATCACTAGACATGTCATATTTGTTAAAATACATAGAACAAGAAGCATACCATTTGCAAGATCTAAAAGGAAGTCTGAAGGATTCATGGCCATTGCTGGGGAATATCCAATATTAGAAAAATATTCAATGGCTTCAGACCCCTTTCCAAAATACACCAGGTTCCCTTCTGATAGCAGCAACACCTTATGAAACATATAGTATAGCCTACTTGAAGGTTGGTGTATTGTCATCACAATAGTTCTCCCACCACATGCTAGCTCCCACAAAGTTGAGACAATTCTTTGTGCTGTGGTTGAGTCTAGGCCAGAGGTAGGTTCATCTAGAAACAACAAACTTGGGTTTATGAGCAATTCTTGTCCAATGCTAACCCTTTTTCTCTCTCCCCCAGAAACCCCCCTCAGATATGGGCTTCCAACAATGCTATCCTTGCACTTGGTTAAACCAAGTTGATCTATCACAGCTTTTGCATGCATAACTTTCTCTTCTTTGGTGACACTTTTGGGCAATCTAAGAAGTGCAGTGAACAGTAGGGTTTCAGTCACAGTCAAGTGAGGGTAAAGAACATCATCTTGAGTAACAAAGCCAGTGTTCCTCTTCATTGCATTTGAGAAGGGTTCTCCATTGTAAGTTATACTTCCATAAAGTCTCCCTCCAAGCCTTCCTCCCAAAGCTGTTAGCAGAGTTGTTTTGCCACTTCCAGATGGACCTAGCATGGCCAGCATTTCACCAGGTTGAACAATACCTGTCACTCCCTTCAGTATCACTTTCTCTTCTGCCTTGGTGTTCTTCTCAAATAATCCACCTTTCTTGCTCTTAATTTTATAGACAACTTCATCAAACTAAAAAGTGATTAATTGAAAAAAGAAAGAAATAAAAAATCAGCATTGATCCATATTAGCATGCTGACAATAAAAGCTACAAGAATAAAAAAAAACAATATTTGGAACAATAATTTTGACTTATTTTTCCACAACTAAAAAAAGAGAGGAAAATTGAAGATAAAATTATATCCATGTCATAAGAGTGAAAACAGGATTTTGAATACATACGGAGAATATTAAACAGGATGATTCATTTTCATCAACAATAAAGAAACATCTATCAGTTTACCAACAAAAAATAAAAAACAAAAAGAAACATCTATCAGAAACTTAGCTACTTATTGTGAGGTATATATACCTATCTAGAATTTTATTATGAAGAAAATAAATAGAGGGTCATTTTGCAATGCATGCATACCTTGAGGATTACGGGACGTTTTCCCTTGTGGAAGATGTCAGGTTCATCCTCATGCACTGTTTGAGACCCTTTGTAAATAGTTTGAGACTCTATGTCTGCCATCTCTTGATCCATATCTACCTGCAACTTTCAGAGACACAGCTTTTGAAACCCTCTTGATCTTTGTATGCAGCCTTGTAAATCTGTGTTCCTTATGCCTAAAATGACACAGGAAACACCAATGAACTAATAATCTCACTGCGTGTTTGTTTGCGATTTCAACTATATATGAACTCCTCAAATGCTACTCTTTCCTATAAAACATGAAGATGTGATGAAGCGGTGCGTCATTCTATATTGTATATATACATACCTATATATATTACTATTATTAGTAAACAAAGTGTACCTTCCATTTTCAGATTGTTAATGCTGACAAAAGAAAAGAATGAGTGTTTTGTTCATATACGAGATATGATATGAAGCTTCAAGAAGAAGAATTTATTTTTATTTTTATTTTTGTTGAAAGATCAATTAAAAACACTTTGGTGTTCTTTTTTTTTGAGATTGATTTAAATTCTGTTTCTTAATTTCCGCGTTCACCGATTGGTTGTTACACTGTACCATATACAGGTGGCTAAATAAGCGCATTTTAAGCCAACATTAACAACTCTATGAACTTGTTTTTAGGGATCTTAGTCTTACAAATATACTATTTGACGTGCACATTAATATTCTTGTGAATTGAATGCATACATTTAATGAAATCATGCTTAGAAACATTCTATAAGAATTGAGCTATATTTAAGCAAGAAGCAATGGTAGTTATTAGGGGTGAAACTGGGCTGGGCCGGGCCGACTTACAGGGGTTTATGGCTCGACCTACGTCAGGTCAGATCTGACCTAGTATATTTTATAAAATAGGTCGGATTTGGACTTTGAAAAAACTTGTTTAATAACGGCCTACTTTAACAAGGCATGGTCTATAAGCCTACAAGTCGGCCTATATTGTACTTTTTATTTTAAATAAAATAAAATAAAATAAATATGCTTTGAAGAAAAAACAAAATATATAAATTTAATCAATCACAATTGTTTATAACTTAATTATATTCTATTATATTTTAATAGAAATCTGATTTTATTTCTTATGTAGGAGGAACCAACATCTCAACATGTTAGATTGTGTATATGAATATATAAAAAGTTTTTGGGAGAGGTTATACTTACTGCAAGCATCATGATGTGTTTGTTGGATTCATGATTTTAATTTACATAGTATGGATTTGTTTGTTGGATCTGATGAAATATATGTTATTTAATTTGAGCATTTTACTTTTAAAAGTGACTTAAATGCAGATTGTGATGAGTTTTGTTGTGATTTACGATTCTGTTTGGATGTTGAAATTGTGATTTTTGATTTAGCAAGAGAATTTGAATATTTTGTGAAGTTGATTCATGGTTATGTTTGGAAGTTAAAAATTAACAGTCTAATGGGCTAGGCCAGATCATTTATTTTTTATAAATGGGTCAAGTCAGGCTAACAGTTAGACTCTTACTAGGCTTGGGCCATGCCAAATTTAATTTTTTTGGAATTAGCTTGAACTTTTCGAAACAAAATTTGGCCCAACCTAGCCTACTTTCACCCCTAGTACTCATGCTCATCAAGTAACCATTAATCAACGATAAATATCGTCACCATTAATATACTTTACTCTCTTTTTTGGTGGAAAAAATTAAATAATTTATATGCTTTCTTTTCATTGTAGGCACCATTTTAAGACGTAATAAATAAACTCGTTGATAAACGTAACTCATAATAACTGCGACACAGATTCGAAAACTATAGAAAATTGTAGCTGTGTAACTAAATGTCTGCAAGTGTAAGCAATGCGTGGATGCACTGAAAACCAAATCATCATTTTCTCAAAACATGGTCATCCGTGTACAACTACTCTTTTATGGGTTTGACTCATGTTGGTAAATGCTTCTAAAATAAAACTTTTGTTAGATAGTCCCTGAAAAAAATACTACTTGTTAAGGAAGATGTCTATACCCGCAAAATGGTTCTCACATATTGTATGAGACAAAGATCCATGGCAATCTTGATTCAAAATACAAAAAATAGATAATAGTTTTATCCAATGAAGGAAATTGTGTCCTACCCAAACACCATCAGATCACCACCTCATTCATCTGACTTGAAGCTTGTTGTCTTGTGCATAATGATCTGAATATTTTTTCCATATACACTGCTAGTCATCATATTCTATATTAAATACGATCCCTCTTGGATTAAATAGAAAGTAAAAATTATAAGAACTAATTGAAAGATACAATACTTGATCATATACTCCCTCTATTTTAAAATAATTGTTATTTAAAGTTTTATATGAGGATTAAGAACATCATTAAATATCTTTAATTTTAGAGAATATAATTGCATTTAATTAATTATTCTTTCGTTTAATTAATGGTTTTTCACTTAATGAAAATACTATAAAATAAGAACAAAGTTGCAAAAAAATATTTATTTTCAAAACAACAAATAATTTGAAATAAACTAAAACTTTTAAAATGATAATTATTTTGAATAGAAAGAATGTTGAAAAATCTAAAAGCATTTAGTTTTTTTTAAAATAATTAAAAATATAAAAAAAAATATTAAGTACCCTTCCACAAGTGTCTTTAAAACTATCCTTAAATACAACGGCTAAAATACCAAAGTTTGAGTCCTAATAGAACTAACACTCCGCGCAAAGAGATAATTTAAATTTTAAAAGTAAAGAATCTTCTAGAGCATAATGATTGCGATCCACCCATTTTTTTTAGATTGCTGCCTGCGTAAAATTGGAAAATGGGTTCAGAAGATTTTGAAGGTCATTTTTGTGGAAGAGATAAGAAAAAGATAAAGAAGATTATAAACAAAGAACATTGCATGAGCTTTTTGGTGTACATGGACTCGTTGGCTTGAAAGATTAGTTTATGATTGAACCTTATTTTATTATATGAGTCAATTAGCTTGCCTTGTTCTTTCATATAAAAATTGGAGGGATTACCATGATCATTCATTGTATGTTAGGTGTGAGCATTATTAAGGCCCAACAAGTCCTCAAAATTTAGACAGGAGTTTAAGGATTTGGGATAAAATATGAGGCCTAAAATTTGGTCCATAAACTAAACACATACTTCAGCTTGAGCTTAATTTCACAAATAAGGACGTTTTGATTAGTCCATATGGACTCTGTTTAAACCAAAAATACACCAAACTCCGTCCCAAAAAATCCATAGTCACGAAATCATCTTTTGTATATCTGTAGCAGGTACATCTGTCATTCAACAAATGAAACTTGGATAAAAAAAATATTTTTCTCTCCTTTCCGTATAAACATAACAGGCATTCCTCATTTTTTTATTAGATAGATGCACTGAGTGAATGATCCAGTAAGTAGTATCATAGATATTTTCCAAAATCATCTACCTAAACGATTTCGGTAAGTGTGTAAGGATTTGCTTTAAAAAATTGTTAAATTTTATTGCTATATATAAATGCAGCTTATCAAAAGAGAAAATATAATAATACACCAAATGGCTCAAAATAAATGAAAATAAAGAGAAAATGAAAGAGATTTAGAGATATGAAGACAATAAGGATTATCAAAATATAATTCTTCATGAATTCTTTTTCTTTTCTTCTTCAAATCTTCATAGAAAAACACTTTTTTATATGAGAATTCAAGAATAGAACGTTATATATGTATATAATATGTAAGTTAATACATTATTATTTAAAAATATAAAAAAGTTGTAACCACAAGACATTTAATTCTACCTTATAACACCTAATAAAGTTACTCATCCATCATGTAAAATATGTGTGTTTTACAATAAAGATTACTTTTTTCCACTACTAAAATTCCTAAATTTTATAATTTTAATACAAAATAATTTCTTTATAGTTTTTTTAGATGGAGTAAACTTTTGTTTTTATTTATTTATTTATAGAGTAAATATCTCTTTAAGTCCTTAACAATAAACACGAAACTCATTTTAATCCCTTAAAAAAGTATCTATATTAGTCTTTTTTGAGAGACTAATGTGTGTCTTTTTTAAATTTTTGAGGGACCACAATTTCAAAGAAATCACAAGTCAACTTTTTTTTTTCTAAGGGATTAAAATGGATTCATGTTTTTTTGTTGAGAACCCAAAAGAGTATTTACTCTTATTCATAATATCATTTCAATATTATTTTTAATTCTTCATAAATTCATTGATTTATTAGTGTTAACTACTCTAATTTATTAATCAAGTAAGCTGTTAGAAGCAAGGAGGATCAACAAATAAGATTGGGGATTACTTATACCGGCATAAAATGATTATGTTCCTTAATTAAATTACTAATAATATCCTTCTCCATAATTACTTTTATGTGAATTTAAATATTTTACATGGGATTAGCAACAAAGCCCAACACAGTTGGTAGATAACTGAATTCTTTAAGCATACTGACAGTGGTTCGATCCCTAGCCCTGTGTATTGAAAAGGCTTTGTTGGGAGAGATTTACTCACTTAATGTAATCTCCCACATCGAAAAGATTAGTTTTAGGCTGTCAGTCGGAGAATACCTTGAGAAACCAAAAAAATAATATTTTACATGGGATTAATGTTTCTCATGTTATATGAGATAAAATTATCTCTTACACACACATAAAATCACGTCGGACCAAAGTGAAGAGAAGAGAGAAAAAAATAGGTCCCACGTATATTTTTATATGTGTAAGAGATAATCTGTTACAATATGAGAACACTGATCCCTTTTTACATTATGGCAATCCTTTAACTACTAAATTCAAATCTGCTTACAACTAAAACAACCTTATACATGCGAAGGATTTTACATTGCTGATATTTAAGTGAACTTGGATGACAAGGTACAAAGCTGGGCCATTCAAAGGCAAAAAAGAAAAAAAAAACAAACCCTCTTGATTACAAAGTGGAATTGGGCCTAGGTTTACCCAAGGTTGAGGCTTCCACTTCACGCATATCCATTTTCAAACCTTCAGTTTTCTTTTTTTCCTTTTTTTGCATTGTTTCCCAATGCATTATTGGATATCCGTGACAGAGCTATTCCATCA